ACTAATGTCACATAAATCATTTTAATTAAATTATTATTTAAATAAATACTTAAATAAAAATTAATATTTATTTTTTTAACAATAATAAAAAAAAATATAATAATTACACTTTCAACTGTAATCTTAAAAATTCTTATATAATTTAAAGTTGTATAAACTTCATTAAAAAAAAAAAATGCTTTAAGCCAACGAGCCTTGGAGAAAGATTGAATGATTCAGAAAGTCAACCTTCACACGTAATACAATTCTACCCGCTAAGATCCCCCACGTCACCAATCGACCCGCCATTCCTTATTTTATTTTTTTTTTTTTGTGAAGATGGCATTCATTATTCGATAAAACACAAACGCCGCCTCGTCACTGGTTTCATGGGTCCTACAAGCATCGATAAAACGCCAAACTCCATGTTCCTTTTGCTCGATACCAAGCAATTTTCTCTCTCGGAGACATTAAGGGAAAAGGAAAGTTTTGTACAGAGGTGGCGTGCGGTGGTTGATGGCCAGAACCAATAACAACAAGTATACTTCCATTAACTTCAATCATATCTTAGAGAAGAACGTCACCACCGCTTCAACCGCCAACCCCGGCAAAGCCAACTATCCTCAGAACCCACAACAACACCCGTCCTCTTTTTCTTCTTCGTATTCTTCCATCTCGTCGCCATCCAACGCCAAGACCCATGGTCGGATGCTCGTTCTGATTCGACCCACGACCAAGCCACTCACTGTAACCCCGCCTCTGTCCCCATCTGCAGAGGCACAACGGCATCAACAAACCGAGCAAGTGCAACACCGGTTATTTCCAGATCAAGCACCGAAAGGTTTGGCTTCGGATCAGATTTCTTTGCGTCCTCTTAGTCGAACTGGTTCAGGTCCAGCGGTCCCGAACTAGGAGAGGGAGAAGGAGGTTGTTGGGTCCGATGCTGGATTGCCGAAACCGGACAGGTTTGTGCGCCGCATCTGAGGCCGGGATTTGGGGAGAGAGGAGAGGCCTGGACCTGAGGTGCCTCGAGGCAGGTAATCAATCCAGAGGCATTTTGGGTCGCCTAGTCAAAATGGGGAAAATGGGCGGCCAAAGTCCAGTGAGCATGAGAGAAGAGAGAAAGGTTACGAGGCACATCTGGGATTAATGATGGGTCGACCTAGATCCAGTGGCAGTCGCCCCAGTTCTAGTGGATGGTATGCACTTTTTCTTCCTTTACTTTATTATCATTGTTACTTCTTACCGAATCCAGTTTGTTTTTGTTATTCTGATGTCCATTTCTGAATTGTCGGGTCCATTTAGTTGCTCCATTTTTACAGATTAGTTCTTTTGGTTGGATAATGTAATTGCAACAAACTAGGTAGCTCCTTCTAGTCCAACTCTTTTCTTCGGGATGAGCTACAAAGTCTCGAGGTGGATTCTCGAGATAAACACTCTGATACTTAAGTTTTTTTTTTTTTTGGTTTCTCGCCTGGTATCCGGGGTTTTGCCTCGACTAATTCAGACCCGACCCGCGTCGCGTACCTAGAAATGGTGGGTGAGTCTCCCAGCGGGGGCTGCTGCGTACACAAGGTCTTGAACTCGAGACCTTTCTTAAACTGGAACAAGCCGCTTACCACTTGATCCAACCCCTCGTTGGTACTCTGATACTTAAGTTAGTAATACTCTGGTCTACCTTTAAGAATTATGGAAAAACAAGCTTTAGATCGGTTTCAATTACCTTTTTGAGGTGGCCCTAAGGGGTATTTATAGGTCTTAATGAGGTATCCATGTGGTCTACTCAACAAGATAATTAGACTCACGTGAAAATCACTGAAAATAACCTAAAGTAACATGAAATATTAGTTTGTTACAAATTGTGACAGAGTTGCGGACGTATCCATTCAGGTGATGATCTTGGGGATAGAGGATTGGGTGCGGACATGCCTACCGTAGTTGTCATGCAACCGTATGACCAGGAAGAACTGAACTTACAAGTTATTTTGGTCATTAAGGAAGTGTAGCAATATGTCTGAGGTCCTTAACCTCAGACTTATCCTTACACTATTCCCCCTTGAAGTCATTCACTTGTGAATGATGTGGTTGAAGGTGGCAAGGGTTATGTATAATCATGTGGAGATGCATAATGAAATATGATGAGAGAAGCAAGTAAAAATCCATGCAGTATATGATTTGACTATAGTGATCATTGCATTATGGCCATGATCGAAGTAAAATTGTTGATGCGAGATCACTATGGCTGAAATTGGGCTGAAATTGGGATAAATTTTGTGGATCGAGGTCACTGAGGTAGTAACCAAGGTAAAATTGGTGATTCAAGGTCACTGAGGTCCTAGCCAAGGTAAAATTGGTGACACAAGGTCATTGAGGCAGTAGCGAATTACAATTAGTGACTCGTGGTCACTGAGGCCATAGCCGAGGTAAAATTGGTGACACGAGGTCACTGAGGTCGTAACCAAAGTACAATTGGTGTCTCATGGTCACTGAGGCCGTAGTCGAAGTAAAATTAGGAACTTGTGGTCATTGGGGCCATAGTTGAAGTAAAATTGGTGACACATGGTTACCAAGGTTGTAGCCGAAGTACAATTGGTGACTCGTGATCATTGGGGCCGTAGTTAAAGTCAAATTGATGACTCATGGTCACTGAGGCCGTAATCGAAGTAAAATTGGTGACTTGTGGTCACTGAGGCCGTAGTTAAAGTATAATTGGTGACTCGTGGTCACTGAGGCCGTGGTCGAAGTAAAATTAGTGACTCATGGTCACTGGGGCCGTATCTGAAGTAAAATTAGTGACTCATTGTTCACTGAGGTTAAATACTTTGTATAATAATGAAAGACATCTGTCTAAAAGAAAGGTATTGGACTGGGTTTAGATAGGCCGTGGAAAAAGCCTGACACAAAATTAATACATGATATGACAGTTGTCTTTTAAAAGACGTGTGTAATAAATACGGGCTACAAAAAATAACTGAAATAACTTAATAGATGCAATCGAAAACGAACTGCCGAATTTGAAAGAGTCCCATTAGGAATTAATCGTCGAATTCGAATCGGTGTGATTACGATCATCAGATAAGATTAATCGTAATCGTTGAAATGCATATTCGTGCTAGTATATATATCCATACTTAGGTAAATTTTTATTACCTTTGCTATGTTTGCCATTGAAATTCTGCCAAAACTTTAATAGAGCTTAGTATGACCAGACTTATGTGCATAGTGTTTGGAAACACAACTAAGTTCTGCACTACCGAGATCAGGAAATTTAATGTTCTTTGGTGATTCTGATTCTAGTGAAGAGTTTGTTTCTCCTCTCACCCTTTCTGATTTAGATCTAAGTCCTCTGAAAAAGGTTAGGTTTAGGAGTAAGAGTTACATAGAGCGTGAATTAGAGTTTATTGAAGATCCTGATTACATCCCACCTTCTACTCCATGCAGTGAAAGCTACGAAACAGAAGATATGTCATTAGAGGAAACATTGAGTATTGGGGGGAGTGAGGAAGTTAGGATGGTGGAGGAAGTTAGCGTAGGAATTGAGTCGTTTAGGTCAAAGAGAACGGTGGAAGAGGTGGGAGGTAAAGAGGGAGTTGAAGGAGAGGGAGTTGAAGGAGAGGGAGTTCCTTCAAATATTTTGGAGGTTGAGGGTGCATGTGAAAGGTGTTATGATGTGGAGGTAGACATTGTGTCTGAAGTTATGGGGTATGAGACGAAATGGCTAAGTAGGAGAGTCTAGTTCACATAGTTGAAACGTATGATCACCCTTCACAAGTGTTGATAAGGTCAGCTGGGGTGGAGGAAAGGGCTTGCTCAGCACCTCGGGATCATTGGATGTCGGTTTATGCCCATTATTTAGCGGCAGGGTTGAGGTTCCCCATCTCAAAACTCCTAGTTGGGTTGTTGTTGAAATATAGTATATGTTTAACGCAACTTGCTCCAAATGTCATTAGGGTTGTGATAGGTTTCTTATTGTATTGCCGAGCTCAGGGTGTTAGGGTACCCACAGTAAACATGTTTAAGTACTTCTTGGTCCTAAAGGGTGGGAGTACAAATGAGAAGGGTTGGTATTATTTTACTCCCTAAGTGTCCAATAAGGAAAAGAGGGACTTGTTTAGTTCAGGGCCATCATCTATCAAGGGATGGAAAGAGAAATTTTTCTTTGTTGATGACAATGAGTGGGGGATGGGGGATGTCGAAATGAAATTCTTATTCACTTGGAAGGCAAAGAAGGCCAACTAGAATAAGTATAGTTTGAATGGGGATGAGAAGGAGGAAGTAGAGAAATTAGTGAGAGAGGAGGATGATGTTGTAGACATCATGTATCTCACCAGTTTAGATGCTGTGGAGGCAACTGAGCTTTATGGGGCGAACTCTTTAAGTGAAGGTGTGTCTTATTTGCATTGTATAATTGCTTAGTGGGGTTATGATGGTTGTTTTAACATTTCCCTATTTTGTAGAAGAGATGGACAAGTTTCTTGTTGTAGTTGGGGGGACGACGATTCCCAAGAAACCATAGAAGAAGTCAAAGACTTTAGCTGCAACAGTTGTTGCAAGTCAAGAGGGGGTAGGAGGTAAAGAGAAGGGACAGCCTTCCAATACCTCAGTTTGAGCTTCGGATGTTGAAGGGCCAAGGTCGGAGCTTAAACGGAAGAGAAGTGAGGATGTTAGGCTTGCTCAAAAGAGGATGAGGGTGGAGGAGCAGGAGTGTAAGGGGGATGAGGTGGTGGAGTTCGTACCTCGTCCCCCCCTCCCCCAGTTGAGCTTGATCCTGAACTTAGGGAGGTCGAGGTTATAACCCATGGAAAAGGGAAGTCCTTTGTTCTTGCTTCTTCGCTGCAAGATAGCTTGTTTGACACTAAAAGCATGACTGTTGCAAAGAGGTTTATAAACTCAACTTTCCCTGAGATGGATTGTCGTCGAGCTCGGGAAAAGGTGTTAAGCCACGGTGGGGTTGGGATTGTGAAGCACGTCCTTATGGTATGACTGTTTTTTTTTTTTTTTTTCATTTTCTGATTGTTGGGGTGTTGCAAGTTGCGAGCTTGGTGCATGCTCTGTCACAAGAGTTTTTTGAAACCCTCAAGGAATGTAATGTTTTAGTGAAGGAGAATGAGGAATTGGGGAATAAGAAGGAAGAGGTAGAGAAGGATTTGGTAGAGGTCATGCCAGAGCTTACGCCGCTTGAGGAAGTGAATGATGCATTGAAGACAAAGCTTGTGTTTGAGGAGAGGAAGAGAAGAATTTGTGAAGAAAAGATAGAAGCGTAGGAGAAGAAGATTGGGGGAATGAAAAAGGCTGCTACCCAGCTAAAGAAGAATGTAAATTTGCTGGTTCACAACAGGATGGAGGATCACATTTCTGAGTTTCTGAAATCTAGCACCTTTAACAACATCATGAACCTTTACCGACTTCCTACAACTAGTTTGGCATTCTTAGACTACAGAAAGATGTGAAGGCCCAACATCCTGAACTGGATGTGACTAGCATCACCTTTGGGAAGCAAGAAGGAGGAGTGGAGGAAGATAGAGAGAGTATGATGGTTGACTTTTGTCTTGAAGTTGAGCTAAAATGGGACCACGACATTGAAGGTTGTACCATTTTTCCTCCTAACTTCGACTTTAAGTTTATTGCAATTGAAAAGGGAGAACCAGAAGCCAGAAGTGCTGAGGTCGGAGGTGCCAAAGTTGCAAAGAACGAACTTGAGCAAGAGGTCGATTAGCTACCTCCACCGGAAGTGGATCAGTCACCTCTTCTAGCCCAATAGCATGCTTTGTTTTTCTAATTTCTTCTTTCTTGTACTAAATTCTAAACAATGTGTTTGTTTTGTTTAAGACGTTTTTGTAACATTTATTAACAATTCATTTATATATTTGAGATTTGTTTTGAACATTTATATATATTTTTGTTGTGTATGTTTCGAGTAGAAATTGAAAGGAAATCACCTCGAATGTGAGGTTAAATTCATTAATAAAATTCAAATTCAAAGAATGAAATGAATTAACAAATTGAGCTCAAACAATGGTTCCAAAGAGCTAAATGAGTAACAAATTGATCTCGAACAAAGGTTCCAAAGAGCTAAATGACAAATTAATCTCAGATAGATGAATCAATAATCATAAAATAAAATAAGATAAAGTTCACTAGGGGAATTGAATTAAGGGTAAAACTTTTTCAAATTGTTCACATTTTAGACTCTGCAAACCCTTTTCCCTTTAGCATCTTGAAGAATATAGGCACCCGGGTACAGCACTTCGGCTACTATATAAGGGCATTTCCAGTTTGGGGCTAATTTGCCAAAACAAGTTTCAAATCCCGTTAGACTAGCTTTCTTTAGAACAAGGTCATCAACTCTAAATGTTTGAGGGCGAACTCGTTTGTTGTAGAAGTTGGCTAATCTCTGCTTGTATGCTAAAGTTCAAAGTCGTGCTTCCTCTTTGACTTTGTTAAGCAAATCAAGGTTCTCCCAAAGTAGTTGTTCATTTCGTCCTTTATCAAAATGGGTGACCCTAAAGCTTAGGACTCCTATTTCAACAGGAATGATTGCTTTGGAGCCAAAAGCTAGGTGGTATGGTGTTTCACCTATGTGATTAAGTTACAGTTTTAGTATATGCTTTATATGTTATATATATATATTTGACCTAAAATGGGGCAATAGGAAAAGAAATAAAGTGCTGAGAGAGTAAACAGAGGTAGAAAATAGTACTTGTGATAGTTCGGCTCATAGTTTTATATGCCCAGAGCATGTTGTTGAGCTCATCTACCCACCTAGCCTTATGTTGCTCCAATCTCGGTTTTATTCCTTCCAAAATAGCTTTATTAACAGATTCCACCATACCATTGGACATCGGGTGGTACCGAGGTAAACTGTAATTTGATTCCATAACTGGAGCAGAAGTCTCCAAATGAGAAATAGTTGAATTGAGTTCCATTATCAGCCACAATTTGATTTGGAATCCTGTATCTACAGATGATTGAACTGAAAACAAAGTCTTCAACCTTTATGGAGATAAGGTTGGATAATAGCCGAGCTTCAACCCATTTTGTGAAGTAATCAACTCCGACTATTAAAGGGGTTACTCCTCCAACTCCTTTCACAACTGGACCTAAGAGAGCAAGGCCCCACTGAGCAAATGACCATGGTGCCACCAGGTTTGTAAGTTCATCGGTCGATTGGTGAGTTAGATGTGCAAAGAATTAACACTTTGGGCACAGAATTGACACATTGGGCATCTTTGCATGAAATCATTGGCATCTTTGTGCATATTTGGGCAATAGTATCCTTGTCTAAGGACTTTATGAGCTAGGATTCGATCACCAACATGACTTCCACAAACACCTTCATAGACCTCCCAAAGTGCATATTCAACTTCATAAGGGCTCAAGCACCGGAGAAGGGGAAGTGAGAAAGACCTCTTATATAGGACTCTTTCCATTAAAGCATACTGAGATGCTTTCTTTCTTAATCTCATTTCTTCCAATTTATCTTTAGAGATTGAACTGTCCCATAAGAAAGACACAATTGGGTCTGTCTAGCTTGGTGTGCTTGGATCTGTACTGATCTCCATCATCTTTGGTTTATGGAAGCTACACTCATCTAGGACCTCAACAAAAACTAATCTACTACCTCGAAGACTGTCTGATGCAAAATTAGAAAGCGAATTTGCTTGCTTATTTTTAGCTCGGGGTATCTTACTTAAACAGAACTTCTCAAATTTGCACTTGAGTTCAGCCACCAGAGCTACATACTTCATCAGAGTTGGGTTGACTACCTCGCAAATGGACTTAATTTGATTAACAACGAGCTGTGAGTCATTTTAAATTTGTATTGTTGTGACTTTCAACTTTAACGCCAACTATAGACCAAGTAGCAAAGCTTCATTTTTTGCCATGTTATTAGTTGCATCAAAATTGAACTTTAAGGCATGCTCACTTCGGTAGTCATCTAGTCCCACCAAGATTGCTCCAGCTCTTGACCCTTTGTTATTTAATGCACCATCAACATACAAAG